TTGGGTGTTAGGGGAAAAAATGGGCTACCAGGTTGTGAGGCAGAGTAGGGGAAAGAGTTTCTTGTGGATCAAGGGAGAGTGCACAGGAAGGATTCCATAAGGCAAGTGGTGGGGATGGTGGTTCTGAAAGTTCCAAAAGTACGTTAATAATCAACCTCCTCTGGAGTCTGAAGGTTAGCCTAGCAAGACCCTGAACTATTTATTGAAATTTCATGTCAATTTCATTCCATATTTTTTTAAAGATGTGTATAGGAGAAATTTCAATTTCTTACCCCTCTTTACCTTTGTCCCGGGACACCTTGTGTGATTCTTTAGGCTAAGTTGCTAAAAAGTTCCTAGAATATGTTGGGTGCCTTTAATATAGCATCTAACCTAGCATTCTACAGTTGTTGTTTTGTTTTTTTTGTAAAAGGAACCAATGTCTAAACCCTTAGGAAAAGAGACTTCAATTTATATTACAGACACTAAAAGACTGGTACAAGGTTTGTTTCAACTGTCAAGTTGCTCTGGAAGGGAAGTAAAGGGAGTGAAATGCAATTAGAGAAGGTGGAGGGTAAACACCTAGGTACTTTGAATTCTGCCTTGGGCCAGTCTGATGCTGGAAAAGTCCCCTCTGCAACATTCTAAACACAATGAGCAATCAAGTAACTCTCACCTGACTGACTGGCCAGCTGCTAGTCTAGGTGGTGGTCTATCTAGTTTATCAAGGACCCGCCCAGGTAAGTGCCAGGTATGTGCAATACAGGGTGTTTGCCAACCCATTTAATATTGATGATGCACCTATTAGCCGACTGGGGCACACCAGCGAAGAAAGAACCTGCTCAACCTTCTGTTCCTGGGACATCTACCAGTCCCAATGCTTCTTCTTTAAAATAAGAATCACTAACCCAGCATTATGATTTTACAAGAGTAGGTAGTCAATTAGCAATTAACATGTATTTACAAAGGCGGGGCTCACCTTAAGAGTTTTATGTTTCTAGCACCCTTCCTGCTCTCTTCTCGTTCTCTTCTCTGATTTACCCCCAGGCATCCAGGCATCTGCATTTCTTATTCACTATTCGCCTTGCATCCACTGTCCATCCTGTCTATTGGATAATTGCCCTAAAGATGCTCAACCTACCATTTAGGGAAGAATACCACAAACACAATGATTATATTTTCCAAACCTAAATATCGAAGCATGTGCTCTCACCAGTAGAAGTTTACTCAGTAGGTAATAGGAAGTCATATTTGAAATCAAGACTATCTTGGGCAATCCCAAATGTCATGGTTGTTGAACTTCAAAGAAGACAAGGAGAAGACAAGGTGTGTGTGGCAGCCCTCCAAGGACTTACCTGTGATCTGGTCCAGGCGTCTCTGACCCCGTCTCCTCCTTCTCTCTCCCTCCCACAGGCTGCCCCAGCCACCCCGACCTGCTGCTGGTCCCTTGAACCAGACAAGCTTACTTCTGTCTCCGGTGCTTTGCTCTGCCTCTTCGTTCTCTCTGGGTCTCCCTAGATCTTTGTAAGACTCTCCTCTTAGCATCCATGTCTCAGCCCCACAGTCACCTTCTCACAAAGGCTTTCCTTGACAGCCACGGCCCCCTAGGCGTCCCTTGCCTCCTAATCCTTCTTGATCCTGTTTCTCTGTTTTATTGTCTTCCTACTAGCATTTACTTCCCCATGAAAGTATCTTATGTTTGCAGTCGCTCTGTGTCTCTACCCTACCACCCACTGCAGTGTAAGCATTCTAGGGCATGTCTTTGCCAGTTCGTCGGCTCCCATTACTGCAGCACCTAGAAGAATGCCCAGGACATGCTGGTTGTGGGACAAATGGATGGGCGCTGTCCCTTCCCGCCCACTCTGCTGGAGGAAGGGGTGTGTACCCTCAACTCTGAGGAATGGGCGTGTACCCTCGACTGTGAAGAACTGAGGATTGTGTGCCCTGTTTCTTGCCAGTCTAAGTCCACACATACATCTGTAGGAGGATGCACCTCCCGCAGGAAAGGGGCACACTGGAGGATCCCACTGTAGGACAGAACAAGAGGAAACAGAACAAGGGATCGAGCTAAGCCAAAGAAATCTGGTTAAAAAGGCAGGGGACAAGGCTTCAGGTATAACGTCTAGAATGCTGAAGCTGGAGCTGAGCTGTGCCTTTGCCTCAAAACTCCCTATGGGGCCTTGGGTCTGCTGTTGTTCCACTGTGAGCTTCAAATGCCACACTTACAAAAGTGAGGAAGCTGAAAGTCTCTGTGATCCTTTCTAGTGACCATTCATTATGAGGGGAGACCTAGGAGAGTATAATCTGTGCTCACTGTGAGTAGTAAGGGGTCGCAGCGTGGCCGTGCTGCCCAGAACCAAGAAATGAGGTCAATAAGGTGTACCTTCAGGAGGCAGTATCGCTAAGGCGAGGCCAGGTATGCAGAGCTGTCTAACAGATAAGACAGGGCATCCAGGCCAGCAAGCCTCAGCAGTGGCCAGTTTCAACACATTAACATGTCTGAAGGGAAAAAAAATAAAAGTGTCAGGGGAGGGCAGGGGGTTCTGTAACCCTGGAAAGAAGGAGAGGTCAGGGCTGGCCGGACCCTCCTCTGTGTGGCCTAGGAGAAAGGCCTTCCCTCTCTGGGCTTCCCTCCCACGGAAAGACTGGCCTCAGTGCCATGCAGACCCTGTGGCCACACACGCCAGGCTCTGAGTATTTCCAGAAGGAGGACAATGGTTGAATCCAGACTCTTCGTTTCTGGCTTCAGATCCTGACTACCGTTTACTAGCTACGTGACTGGTCTTACATAAGGCAAGTTACTAAACAGGTTATCTGCACTTTCTTACAGTTTAATGGGAGCAATGATAATATAAGAATCCCCCAAAAGTTCTGGAAGGATTATGTTAATACCTGTAAAGCCCTTACAATTTCATTGGCAAAGCCATCTCTGGCTATCACACATGCCTCAGGCCTAATGATATTAAATATCTGTCTTCCCTCCTTCTGATGCCACGTTCAACAAACAACCTACTCCTTCCCACGCAGGTTTGCTTACACAGAAAAATCGTGCTTATCACAGGGGTTCTGAGAAATTCCCATTGCAGAGCCTGCACTATCTCCTGGCAGACTGATAGCATTACTTCTGGTTATGCCTGGGCCTCCGGCATTGCTGGACCACAGACGCAAAAGGTACAGATGCGAATGGAGGATTTGGGTCCTGAGGCACGTCTGTTTTGATTTCAAAATCATCCCACTGGCATTCTGGTACCCACTTCCCCCTTAGTGTGCTGGGGTTAGAATGCGGATGCGCAGGCTCTCGTTTCCCCAAAGAGCCAAGCGCGTGAGTCCTCAGTCCCTGCTGGGTTTTCTCACCCAGCAGTGGCATCACCTGGATCAGCTCTGGGCCTGACCCTGTGCACACAGGCTGCTGTCCCCACCATGGGGACCTTCACAGGAAGGAATAAAAAAAAAAAGTGTTTGGAAAACTGGTAGGTGAACAACATAGAAAAGGAGCATTAACCCAAGGGCTCCCACTGAGCTGTCTGCAGGGACATTTCCCTCTGCCTCCTCAAAAAAAAAAAAAAAAAAAAAAAAGAGAGAGAGAGAGAGAGAAAATGTCCAAAGGCTTTCATTTCCTTCTGTGACCTCACCTGGCATACCGACCACCCTTCTCGGATTTGTCAGAGTTTTTCAGCATTTTCAATTCAAAGTGTGAGGCGTTCTGGAAGAGCTAGAGGACTTCCAGTGATGACGCACATCTGTCATGGAAAGGTGTTCAATGTTTCTTTCCTCCTGACACCGTGCTGGATTGGGTTTACCTTTAGGAATCTGCAGATTTGTGGGTTTTGTTTGAAGAGAGAGGGGAGAGAAAGGTGAGAAGGGGAGGTACATGAGAATGTGAAATGCTTGGAGAGGCCCACGAGATATGCTTACTATGGGGACAGAACTGGGAGGTTCAAGGACCAGCAGGTTTCCAGGAGGTTGAGTGATGACATGAGTTATGTTGGCATTTCCAGATTGACCAGGAAAGGTAACTAACAATTATAATACTGTTCCCTTGAAAAATGGAGCTTGAGCTCTAAATAAGAAACTTTTGAGATACAATCCATTGCAACGGAGTTCTTAAATGGTGGACTTCTTAGCCTGCATCTTGGGAAGAAAGTCCCAGGAAGCATGTGGTGCAATATTGGTGGTGGGGGTGGGGAGGTGAGGGGTAGATGGGAAACTAAGAGCTTAGAGAACTGGAAGGACATTGGTCCCTGGGGTCTGGGGCAGGCAGTGACCTGCTGAAAAACCCAGCCAGCAGGGACACCTCTCCAGAGACAGGCGGGAAGATGCCCTGCATTTAAAGAGAGGAAGGTTGGGGGAACTGGGTTATGCTGACGTTTCCTTCTGGGTTCTTGGGACAGAGGCTTCCACCTCCATTCCCGGTGAACTCTGGGCTTCCGTCCGCGTCTACCTGGGAGTCCTTGCAAAAGGGAGTGACAGGTAAGAACTCAGCAGGAAAAGCCAAGCCTTGGTTTGAGGAAGCCAGCGTGAGGAGACTTGGATGTAGAGACACTGCGGGTTAGGACCAAGAGACAATTCAATGGAGAGTGTGAAAGGGAAGGGGGCTCAGGGACACCCCGTGACACCCAGTGAGGGGACCAAGGCAGGACACACGGGCCCAGCCAAGGTGCCGAGTGGGAGCCCACGGAGAAGGGAGAGTCGAGAGGAGAGGGCTAGGGCCGGTGGAGAGAAGGCGCTAGGGAAGCTGTCTCTGCTGCGACGTGTGCTCCGAGGAGGGAGGTGGGGAGGATCTGAGCCGGCGGGCCGCGTGTCACCGCCGAGGCTGCGGCGGCTGGAACAGGTGAGCGGTCGGTCCCCGCCCTTCCCCTTGGCGGCGAGCGTGCCTCCTACCGGCTGTCCAAGGCGCTTCGCTGCTCGCGGCTGCCCCGGCTTTGGGGTTTTGCAACCGGCAGCTGGCTTTTTTTTCTTCCCTCCCGTTTCTGTCTCTCCTTCTTCTTTTAGGTTGCTCCACCCCGCCCAGGATCAGGCGAGGGGGGAACCGGCTGGGCTGCGGCTGCCAACTCGCGCCGAGCGCGCCTGCGAACTCCCGGAGTGGAGTCCCGTGTGCTGCCTCCTCCCCGCTGGGCGCGTTCTCCCCGCGACCCCGGGCCCCGAGGCCTTCCCGCGCAACCCTTCCCCACTTTCCCCCCGTTTTGCAATCACATGGCATTTTAAGAATGCCGGAAAGATGGCGGTAGCGGCGGCAGCAGCGGCGGGGCCGGCCGGCGGGGGCGGCGGCCGGGCGCAGCGGAGCGGGCTGCTGGAAGTTTTGGTGCGGGATCGCTGGCACAAAGTTCTGGTGAACTTGAGCGAGGACGCCCTGGTTCTGAGCTGCGAGGAGGGCGCTGCGGCGTACAACGGCATTGGAACCACCACCAATGGCACATTCTGCAGGGGCGCCGGGCACCCAGGCGCGGGTGCCACGCAGCCCCCCGACTCGCCGGCCGGGGTGCGCACCGCCTTCACCGATCTGCCAGAGCAGGTGCCCGAGTCCATCTCGAACCAGAAGCGTGGCGTGAAGGTGTTGAAGCAGGAGCTGGGCGGGCTAGGCATCAGCATTAAGGGGGGCAAAGAGAACAAGATGCCCATCCTCATCAGCAAGATCTTCAAGGGGCTAGCAGCGGACCAGACCCAAGCCCTGTACGTGGGCGACGCCATCCTGTCGGTGAACGGAGCCGACCTGCGCGACGCCACCCACGACGAGGCAGTGCAGGCGCTGAAGCGCGCTGGCAAGGAGGTGCTGCTGGAAGGTAAGGGGTTAACGCCGCGCGGGCCGTGCCAGGCGCGCACACCCACTCGAGCTCCCAGGGCGCCGGCACTCGCACCCACGTGTTGTCACACCCCAGGAGGCCGGGATGTCAAGGGTGAAGTGGAGTTTTAACAACTTTTACCGACCAGGGGGCAACTTGTCCCCTCCTTTGAGTCTTTATAGGCTGTGACCCACTCGGGGGGTGTGTGAAATGCCAGGCCAGCAGTGTTTCTTGAATTCCTACTATGTGCCAAGCACGGGGTCGCATGCTTAGTGCACCTTGCTTTATTTTTGTCTGCTCCTAATCCACGTGGAGTGCAGGGACTGCGAAGTGGGGCTGGAAAGGAAGGGTAAACAGAGAGAGTCACCCGTCCACGTTAGAAAGCGAACGCACTGAGTAATCACATCTCTGGATAGTTTTCCTCTTTGGCACAGTTTCCTCCTCGACAGCCTGAAGGGGTCGAATCATAAAGGGACCAGAGCAGGGTAGCAGTGTTGGAAAGCTAAGACTCCCCCCACCCTTCTTGACTTCCCTGCTCTCCAAGTGGGAACTGGGGTTCTGGCTGGGGAGTCGTGCCACCCGGCTGGGAGTGTGTTGCAGTTTTATGCAAAAGTTCACCTTTGGGCGTTGAGCCGGTCAGTCTGGATTCTGGGTGGAGGGCTGGTGAAGTGGTTTTTCTGCGTCCATTTTCCGGGTATTTTTCCAGAGGCGTGGGGAAACAACTTCGCATTTGGAAAGTTTCCCCTGCCCGTGAGGCACCTTAGAATCTCCTCTCTGGAGGTGTGATGTCCCCTCATCACTGGATGTGAATGGAAGACGTAGTGTGTTTAGTGCCCGTTGGTGGTTATGCCGGGGAGGGCAGTAGGGCGGTAAGCAGACAGTGCCTTCTCCTCTTCCGCCACAGCTGTCTTGCTCGTGCAGTATCTGCCTCTTTGCCACTTGGCTGGCTTTGTCCATGTCTCCGTCAGCCCTGTTTGTGTAATTATTTTATCGTCTTACCCAGCTTCTCTTTAATTGTAGGCTGAGTCGTCTGGGGTCTTTTATTTAGTTATGGGTCCTCTGCCTTGAGCGTAAGTGCACAATGACATGCTCAACTGAGATCTTGTAAACTGGTAGTTGATTTAAGTCCTCAATTCAGGACTTAAGTAAATATTCTGTTCACCAACTGCAGTGCTGGTGTGCGAAACTGAGCAAGTTCCCAGTTGGGAAACCAACACTGTTGCGTGTGTGACAGCTGATGCAACTCCCTGCCCACCCCCTGGCCTAGAATACAGAGGGTTTTCCCCCCCTCTTATTTGACTAGAGGATTCGTGATGTCTTCATATTTAATTGCTACCCTTGGATACAGAAAGTGGAAGGCTGTTTGCTTTGGCTTGATGATTAACATAAGTAAACAGAAAAAAGTTTTCTCCAGTGTATGTTGGTGTGTGTGACCAGAGGCAGGTGGGACCTGGAGCGAGTGTGGTTTGGACTATAAACTGCTGGACACCTGCTCCGTTTGCAATATTTACTGTAAAATAACAAGGGGACAAAGGCAGGTCATTTTTATTTCACTGCCCTTCCTTATGTCCCTTCTTTTCTTCTTCTTGGTTTTCATTGAATAAATAATGTGTTAGCAAAGAGGAAAAAAAAAAAAAAAAAAAAAAAACCTCTCACCCCAAAAGAGGAAGCTCCTTGCAGTTGAAAATAAACTTAAAAGAAAAAAACCCCAAACACTCGAGTAGTTATGTGACTTTATTGATGCAGCAACTGAAAAAAATGAGTTTTGTAAAAACTTCTAACATGATATTTTTACTGGGGAAGACCTCTGGGCCCTCTAGACAAGAACCACCTAGAGCGGTGGTCTTATTTCCAGCCTGAGTTTTCAGAAATTGACTTCTATTACGAGAATAAGGAGAGGCCCCATTCAAAAGTATGTCAGTTATTCTGAGGCTAAGTGTTGGTCCTAGATTTGGTGGGAGTGACTGTACACCATCAAGTCATAGAGCACGCATCCCCTCTTTTGTAGCTCAGCCTAGGACAGAAATTCCCAGCAGAAGGGTATTATCAGGGCTTCCGGAAGGGTTTTTTAAAACGCATGCCTACTTGCTCATGTTCTGACACACCATCTTGATTCCAGAATTTCTACATAAGACTTTGCAGAAGTAACCTTGATGGATGAGAGGGCTAAGGGATATATTTTAAAGATATATTTATATAGCAAATACACTGTTTTTTAATTTAGATTGTCTTTTTTTTTTGGTTGGTTTGTGGGGCTGCTGATGGAAATGTAGTCCCTCAATGGCGGAGAGTACACTTTCCATTACATGACATGTGCCCTCTAGTGGAGAGTCACTGCCTCTACCAGTGGAACACCTTGTGAAACCAAATGCTGAATGGCAAGTTTCAATGCCACAGAATCATCTTAGCCCCCCTGAAAGAATGGGAATAAAGATACCAGCTGGCTGTGCTTACTTTACAGGGCTGCTGTATGGAAGAGCACTCTGAGAATAAAAGAAAAAAAAGCCATATGTATCAAATGACTGTTGTGATTAGTTATCTTTATAATTCAAATAAAAGGAAGATGAAATTGCCTCTTTTAAGGAGTAATCCTTGCTTTTTTTTCTTTACTAGAGTTTATGTTTTTTATTTTTATTCTACTCTACTTTGTACTATGAAGTTACAGTGTACAGAAAACCACTCTTCTGGGGAAGGAGAATCATTACAGTAGCTAATATTTCTTAAGCAATTCATATGTGACAGGCTTTCCTTACCTTTGGTCACGCTACCTTCTAGTAACTCCATGAGGTTCGTGCTGTTGTTTGCTTTACCAATGAGGAAACTAAAGCTTTTAGACAGTAGGTTATTTGCTTCAAGTAACACAGCTAAGAGTGTTCCAGGTCTGACTTAAAAGCTCATCCTTGTAATCTCTATGCGGAACTGATACTCTGAGCTTCTGGGTGGAACTAGGTACTTGGGTCAGTGGAAGCTCCCTCAGTTACTGGGTCAAGGTGCCTTCCCCGCTCCTCAGATATTACGCTGAAGGGCTTGGGTAGGGTATTCAACAGGGAAGGACAGGAAAGAGAATGGAGCCACAAAACCCTTGTGCACCAAGCCTCCCTGGTTAGGACGAAGGAGCTGCTATGTGACTCCACTTTCCAACGGGTCAGGGTCTCCCCATCACTGAACATAGGGCCTGCAAGGAGACTGAAGTACAATCCAAACTTAAAGTAGTTATTAAACTGTACCAGTTAAGTCAACAAGCTTAATATCAAAAAATCTTCCTGCTGTGAACTCATTTCCCATGTGAGGGCGTGGGAGCAGTCGCCGTGCATGCAGCCACGCAGAGACTGTACCCTTCACTGCGGGGGGCACCCTTCCCACAGGTCGCCAGGTGAACAGCACCCTCTGGACAGGGCAGGGCACCCCTCCATAAACAGCCACGGCCTCTCTGGGTGGGGACGGTAGGAGATTTTTGTACATTTGAGTGTTAGTACAATAGTAACTTGAAACATGTCAACCTTTTTGTAATGGAAGCCACAACACAATTATTTCCTCCATAACTCTGTCAAGATTGAGGAGTACAGAATGTTCTCATATTGGATTCATATTGAACAATGCAGGTTGGGAGTGGATAGAAATCATCCCTGGGTCCAAAAGGTCTCCTTTGGGACTGAACCAGAAAAAATGAAAAGTCGGAGACAACTGTTGACCTTAACCTTGCCCATCAAAGCTTCTCCCCCAGACTGTTCCCAGGAACGCTTGGCTTTCACGTGTGACTTTCACAACTACTTTCTCCAGGGTGGTAGTGAGGGGGGTGGGGCAGGGATGTGGGGTGCAAGGAAGGGGCCGTGATTTTGCTGGCATAAAAATCTCAGGATTGGATGAGAATTAGATCTTTCAATCCTACTTTATTAGGATGTACAGATTCTTTTTTTTTTTTTTTTTGGAGGATGTACAGATTCTCAAAGAATACCCCAAAACCCTGAAATTAGAATCTTAAAACTTGGGTTATTTATTTTTTAACTAATAAGTTAACAAGAGTAACTTGTTACTCTTTACAAGATGCTTTATGTGTTTGGGACTTGACTTTCTTCACTGGAAAGCTAGATGCCTGGGTTAAGCCACATCCAAACCTTATTTCACCTCCAGTCCAATTCAGACCCGGCAATTTTTCTAATGCCTCTTTTTATTACCATGAAATGAATTGTACAAATCATATAACCTAACTCTAATTTAAATTTAAAAATCAATTACTATTATATTTTTAACATTGACATGGTGGAGAAATGAAGGAAATTAGCTTTTCAAAAAGCTTCAGTAGATAAATGCATGACGTGACTACAGCAGGGGTTGTAATGAAGAGACAGGTGCTAGTGCTTGTTTGTAATGTCACCGTCAATGCACAGCTACAGACGCAGGTGGGAAGGAGTCCGTGCTGTCATTTGGGATCTGGTAAAAGCTTGCGCTGTAAGTGACTGCCCCAGAAGTTGCAAGGTGGCTAGAATTCCTGGCTCCTATTGCTAAAGGCTAGTAGGTTGCCACCCCCACGCCCCCTGACCTCTAAAGTGCTTGTGTAAATTTCTGAACTGCTCCTGGGGAGGGGTGTATTGACCATGTGCTCTCCAGAGAACCGGTGCTCTGTAAGAATGCTGATACCACTTTACCAGTTTATAATACCTGACTTTTTGCAAACTCTTTTCACATATGGCATAATAGCTAACATTTACCTAATACTTGCATTGTGCCAAATGCTGTTCTAAGCACTTTACATGGCATAATCGTTGATTCTCACAGTAATCCGATGTCGTTAATATGTCTATTATACAGATGAGAAAACTGAGGCACAGATTGGTTAAGTCACTTGCCAAAGAAACACAGTGAAGTGCTGAGGCTGAGATTCAAGCACAGGCCTTATAGCTTTGATCCTCATAAACAGCCTTATAAAATAAGCAGAGTAGGGACATTTACCCTTCGTGTGCTGATTTGAAGAGTGACGCTCTAAGAGGTGCGATGATTTG